GCCACCCCCGCAGGGGCTGCCAGCTGCAGAGCGGAGGGGACCCGGCTGGCATGGGCTTGGTCTCGGTGGCATCTCACGGCAGGACTTTCCACATTTTAATGACACGATGCGTGAAAGGGGTTTCCTTTTGTCTGCTGTAAATGTTTTTATATGGTTACACCGGTACCTCCTTAGATAGGACGAAACAGAGACTGACGCACCCTGCGTGCACCCGTCGTACCACGCAGGACTGTGTAGGCTTGATGCGCCCACTCCTCCAACCTGTTTTCTAAACGAGGAATCCTAATCTATTTGATTACCTTGTATTTGATCTACCTTCTATAACACCGTGCCAGGCCTCTGCCCGTCTGTGCTTTCTCGCTGCCCTCTGTGGCGTTACTTTTCTACCTGGCGAGGCTGCAACTGCACGTGATCTGCTGGACGTGAGAGCAGCGTGGATCTCTCACAGTGGCGTAAACACGTGTCTGCTTTGCATTTTGTTCGTACAGGGGTCGGCTCCTGAGTCCTTTGTAAAGGCTGTGCCCCGGTGGCAAGGCTGCCTCTGGCCCCGAGGCTGGCGTAAGCGGCGGGTGGTGCGTGGCAGCAGTCTGGCGAGGCTGCAACTGCACGTGATCCGCTGGACGTGAGAGCAGCGTGGATCTCTCACAGTGTCGTAAACACGTGTCTGCTTTGCATTTTGTTCGTACAGGGGTCGGCTCCTGAGTCCTTTGTAAAGGCTGTGCCCCGGTGGCAAGGCTGCCTCTGGCCCCGAGGCTGGCGTAAGCGGCGGGTGGTGCGTGGCAGCAGCGGGGTCAGAAGCGTCGCGGTTGCGTTCCTTTAAAACACTCCGGGGTGAATGCCAGCGTGCGGCAGTTCCCTCTCTCCGGTATCATTTGCATCTTCGCAGGCACCGTCTGATGATGACGGGCATGGAGAAACTTCCTCAGATGTGGGAGTTTCCCTAACCTGCTCTGTGGTGAACATCAACGAAAGCCATTCATTCAGTGTCCAGCACGGTCGTACCTCGCTTGCCTACCACCTGCCCAGTCACCTCCGTGGGGGCCTCCTGCTCCCACCGTGGTCATTTCAACAGAAGGGAATTCTCAACCTTTGTGTCTTTAGCAAGCTGATTCTCAAAATGCTGGGGTTTATATTTAACTTGACAGATTTTGTGCTTTTTCCCCCTGTCTTTCTCCACTGAAATGACTTACACTTCTGAAGGGTGTCTTGCCCAAACCTTCTTCATTCTGCTCTTTTGGGTTGGCTGTGCTTTCTTTGGGGTTTTTTTTGAGATAGTTGATTTTTATGATTTTTTTTTTAAATTGATGGCTCTGAGTTTTTCATACACATTTTCTCTAGCCTGCCTTCATGCTGCTTGCATTAAATCTTTTTAGCTGTTCTTTTAATTTTTCTTTTAACTAACCTCCCTATTTTTATCTGCTTGCTCTCTGAAAGTTAAATATTGCTGCAGTGGAATTTTGTTTATCCTTCTCCTTCTCCGCCAGGTCGTTGACTTGCGGTCCAGAAGGGGTTCTCTGGTAACTGCTTCTTGGCTGGGGTCCTACGTAGCGCCCCGAACTGCATGGGCCGCCCGGCGGCAGCAGGCGCTGGGGTCCGCAGGAGCTTCGTCGCGGGGCTGGTGTCACCGCCCCCGCAGCAGGGCAGCAGGGCAGCCCCCACCTCAGACTCTCCCCAGCCAGCATCAGTTCCGTGGGCAGAATTAACTTACCTGGTCTGACCCTAAGCTTCGCTTTAATGCCCCGGGGACACCGTGCATGCCCAGCAATACAGTGTCCTGTTGACACTCGCCTTTCCTCCCATTTCCAGAGTCAATCTTTTCCATCTAAGACCAAAATATTTTAAATGGATTTGAAGTTTTTTTCTATGAGTCTGCTTAAATAAGGTACAGCTAAAAATATCTGTATAAATTAAACACTCAGAGGTTTTTTTCACAAAATAAAAGGATCCTTTTTCTTGAGATTCTCTGAATTTAGGAAATTTGCTCAGATTAAACAGGAAAGTCAACGTCCATTTGCAAATCTTCCCCAAGTGGAGGTTCTGTTGTTTCCACTGTTCTGCTTCTGCCGTTGTTTGGTGGCTGGGCAGATGCTGTTACAGCTCTTCAAGCCTTAGCTGATGGAACACGAGGCCGCTCCGACCGTGCTGCAGTCCCAGCCTGAGCCTGGCTCTAAAGCTGCTTTCTGTACCCTCCTCATTTTCAGTCACCATGACTCTTGCGGCGAACACAAACCCATTTTTCCTTGCTTTGCTCGTGGAAGGCAGCGAGGGCCCCGTTGTTCCCTGGCACTGACAGCGTTTCCGCATTTGTCTCCCGCAGAGCACTTACTTGATATTTTCACTCCATCTTATTGACTATTTTGTGATTACGTTTATTCCCTTGTGCTGCCACGTCCTGTGGATAGTTTGTTGTGCAATGTGTTTGACACTCCAAGCCAGCTTACTGCATTCCTCTATCGACAAGACAGCTTTTCTCCTCAGCAGCCGAACGCGCCTGGCAGCTCTGGCCCTTTCCTCCTCCCGCCGTTGGGATCATCTGTGGCTCCCAGGTTCGTTGCCCCATCAGACAGAGCTGCCGGAGGCCGTGCTGGGCTCCCTCCATCAAAGCCCGTGCGCTTCTCGCCAGTCCCTCCACAACCAAGAACCTGTACCCGAAGCGCTTGGCGCTCGGCAAAAACCCCCTCCCAGCTGCTCTGTGACTTTCCTAATTCCCAAACGAGGAACGAAGGATCGGCCAGAGCATGGGAGACAAGGGCGCATCCCTGCCAGTCAGCAGATAGGCAGGGAGCCTCCGTCGGCGCCTCCTGCAGGGATTCCCCCCCCGGCTGTACAGCCGCTGCCTCGGCAATGTGGCCTTAATCCTCCTGAAGGGAATGGATTTACCAGGCGTCGCTGCGGCACGGCTGCCACGGGAACAGTTCCTGGCCAAAGCTACGGCACTTGAAGCGTTGCACTGATTGCCCTCATCCGTGCACGCCCTTTTCCCTTGCTGACACAAGGCCGTCGTGAAGGACCGGGGCAGATGAGGTTGGCCAAGAGGTTGTGTGATGGCAGGAATCTGAGTAGCCTGTGTCCCTCCGCAGTGACGGCGCATCCC